TATATAAATAAATATATATAAAGGGTTATTTGAAACCAATACATGGAAACGCTGGTGCTTGAAACACTGTGAAGTGAAAAAAAAAATAATTGAACAGTTCAAGATCTGGGACAGTCCCCTTCTGTGAAAGTACTGAAACTGAAATGGAACTGGTCTTAGGTGAAAAGCGTTCCTGAAGGTTTGAACCTGGATGGGACCCGTTCTCTCTATTGTTCCTTCCCCGTTTCTTCCCAGACGATGGCTAAAATGTACTGGACACACGGTTTTGATTTTTATAGCTTGGGATCTGACATGAGAAAAGATTGCTCTGGGTAGCTTGTATTTCCACTAGGGTAACTCAGATTGGCGATGTGCAAGTTCGTGCCCGGCTGGAGCGTAAGCATTCGCAACCAGACCGGTGTCGGCATGCCACGGATTCGTGTATTTTGGTAACGTGAGCATCGCTATGTCGTGTATAGCTGATCCCACAGACGTTTGGTTTTCTTAGATTTAATGAGTTTCATCCACCTGCATCAGTGACCGAGGTAACTTTAGAACTGGAGTGGTTTGCTTTGGGTTGGAAGGCAGCAGGGAGCCGTAGGGCTGGGAGCGATTTGCAGGTTGAGGGAGCAAGCTGGTGCTCGTTCCAGCCGGCGGCGCGTGGGTCGGTTGTTGTCAGCCCCCTTCCGTCTGTCCCGTCCGTATGGGGTGGCTCTTCTCCTTGAAGTCCATCCGTATCCCAAGAGTGGTTTCTGAACAGCATCTTGTCCAGGGATGACATTGGGCTTGTCAGTGTTTGGACGCTTCTGGGTCTCCTGCTGCGGGAGCAGAAGTAGGGAAAAGCTTTCATGCTGGCAAGTGAGCGACACGTGTGGCTCGCGCTCACGACCAGCATCTCCTTCATTCTTGCTCTAAAGCTATTCAGACTGTAATTTCTTTTCCTGGCCTGTTAGTGTTGCTTTACAGTTTACCTTCCATGCATTATCCTGCTAAAACACTAGGCTGAAGAGGTGAAACAAACTTTTTAAAAAAAAAAAACAACCAAACAAACAACCCAAAACCCCAAACCTCTTTGGCTTTCCATCTTTATTTAGTGGCCCCAGGGTGCTTTGCAGTAATTTCAGGTGCAGAGGCTGTGGCTTCATTTGACATCAAATGCATAACTTCTGGGCATGATGAAAGAGGGCCACATTTTGACAACTTTGTGCCAGCTTGTTATATTGTGAATTATTTGCTTAGCAAGAGTAATTTCTCTTTGTGGAGGCAACTGATTTAAGATTTCTTTTAAAATCTGTTGTGGTTTTGAGTAGCAGACGTAGGTTCCTTTCACACTGGCGACAGAAATGTGCGAGTAAGGGATCCGTTACAGCCCCTGCTCGAAGGTGCGTGCAGTGGCAGTGCCTTTGCAGCAGTGGTTTTATTCTGAATACGTTAACGTGGGCACCCTGACTTAATTCTGCTTATATTCACAGTATAGGCTGTCTTTACCTTTTTAAGCATTTTTAAAGTATTTATTAAAGAACCAAAGGAAACCAGATGCTTCCTATGAGCATCAAGACAATTTATTATACATAGTTTTAAATACTATGAATTTCTCAATCCACATTTTAACATTAGTGGGATATTGCAAAGACATTCCTTTTCCAGTTTTTACTATTCCTTTAAGGGTCTCAGGGAGGGTAAACTGGTCAGCCATATTTATTTATTTTACTGAAATGTATTGGAATAATTTTTTAAGAGAGATTTTTTGAAGATGCCCCTGAACTTGTATATTTTGCACTGCTTTATAAATGATCCATTATCAATTAGGCTTGCGTGCATCTCGGCCGTGATCCAGCGAAGAGTGTGAGCGAGTGGTGAGTCCCTCTGGCTTCAGCGGGGCTAATTCTGGTGCTTCAAGTCAAACCGCGTGCTCGCCTTCTTCATTGAATCGGGGAATTTGTGCAAAAAAAAAAAGCATTGTGTGTACCAGGAAATTGCTTCTTTTTCAAGTGAAAATGGACCTGTAGATCAGTTGAAAAAGCTTTAACGCCGTAACCAGCTACTCATGGCTACTGGTAAAGTCGGTAACATCTGTCTCTTTGGGCGTGCCTCCTCGATAAAGTAGCTTGCTATAAGTAAGTGGGAAAATTTCTTTGGAACAAGTGACCTGTAATTCTGCATTCAGTAGAAATTGCTAGCTAAGCATTGAACCTCCCCGGCCTCATCTGTAGCTGTTGTGTCGTGGATTTGAAGGGTAGCGTTTGCTTTTACACTTAATTTCTGAAGTTAGCATCCCCACGGCACGCGTCCGCGGGTGGGATTCCCTCCGCGCTGTGTCCGTGGCTTATCCCGCTGTTGGTGGGGAGCGTGTTTAAGAACCAAACCAACCAAAACACTAGTGTAGGGGAAGGACCAGATTCGTGGTGTTCAGTGGCACAGAAAGCAGGTAAGTAAAGCACAGTGTTAACGTTTGCGAAGTTTCAACTCTTACACAGACACACACACACAGAGACACCAACACAGCTTGCCTGACTTGCTCAGTTTGACATAGTTCTGCAAAGGAGAAATGACAGCGTTTTACACCACCAGGCTATTTATTTTAATTGGAACACTTTGCTTGTTTCAAATCGGACAGATCGAAAATTTGGCAGCAGCTTCCGTGAGTTTATTTCCACTGAGATGTTTTCACCTGCCTTACCAAGATCATTCTCAGTCTACTTTTTTAAGCTCTACCATAAACTTAAATTATTGAAAATTTATTAATTGCTGACTATATAATAACCTTTGCTTGTATGTAACCGAATGGTTTTAAGAGCCAACATTTAGAGTATGACAATGGAGCTGAACAGTTTTTAATGCGCAAGCAGTTCTGTTCTTGTGTATGACTTGTAACCTTAATTTACTGTGTAAAGATGGTTACATTATTTCCTTAGCTTTGTTTGTTGGAGACAAATATAGAATGCTTGTTTAAGTATGTCAAAACATAATCTTATCTTGTGGATTTTTATGTTAATGTATTATACGAGCTATATTTTTCATTTGCCCAGAAAGACAGCTTGTATAACGCTTTTGAAAGTTTTTCCGCTCTGTAAAGTCTTTAGAGCTGACAGTCCTGTTAGGTTTGTTTTAATCTTCATGCTAAAGTGTCAATGGTGGTTTTGTGAACTGGTCAGAAATTCACAGGTCTTAAATGTTTTCGGGAAATTTATATTGGACACTGCTCTTTGTCTAGCAAATAAAAGATGTTAATATATTCCTGTTACTGGCATGTGCACGACTGTTATTAGAAGCCACTTTATCATTTTCCTGCTTTAAATAGAAATGTCTATTTATGAATTCTGCTTGTAGTTTTTTCACAAATAAAATAGTAAAATTTAATTAAATCTGAAAGCTCTCTTTTTTGGGAGATGCCAGTATTCAGAAAAGCGGAGAGTCCTGTTGTTGAAGCAGTTTGTCAGTCTGTACGTCTTGTCCGTGAGCCACCGCTTGAGCACCCCACTTCTGCAAACGCAGGGTTGTGCGCATAGAAAACTTCAGTCAAGTGAGTAAATCCAGTTTGTTCCCTGGGACTAACGACATACGGAAAGCTTGTGGCGGATGTGTCCGCAGAATTTGGGTTCTGGTACTTTGAAATAACCATTTTTTCCCCTTTCTGTAGCTGCCGAAATGGCGAGGCTTAGTGCAAAGGATTTTAGTGAGAGCCCTCGGGAGTTCCTTCGGCTGTCTCGTGCTAACAAAGTCCCACGAGTAAAATTAATAAAATTTAATTGAGAGCCTAATTGTATTTTTGTAGTGTAAAAATACTGGTATTTTGTAAGCAGTATTTTAGTCCTCTGCCTAGGAAACAAGGTGATGTGAATTACTGTGCTCTTTCTAGTTCATACTTTTCCCCCCACCTCAGATGGGAGATGTGCAACGTAACTGTTCAAATACAAAGTTGAAATTTGAAAACCAAGCAATAGGTAAAATGCAAAGGGGGAAAAAAAATCTTGATAGAGTTTTTCCTCAGGAATATGAGGACAGCTACTAAGGTAAAAGCCATTTGGATATTTTTGTGTATGCGGGGGGAAGTGTGTGTTACAACTAGAGGTCGCTTTAAAAAAACCACTGTGCAAACAGACTCTTAAATGCTTTTAACCTCAGTTGGAAATGATTCAAAATCTTTTGTGCCAAGAATAAGAAGAAACAGGAAAGGTAGCGGTTGTTCTACAGACCCGAAAAGCACTTGCTTGGCATGCTGGACGAGTGAGTAGAGAAACAGTCCTTACCTCGAAGAGTGTACAGTCCCCGTCCTCAATCTGCAACCAGCCGAAGGTGCCGGAGCAGCCGCCTGGGCAAAGCAGCAAGAGCTGCAGGGAGTGGAGGAGACGCGCTTCATCTTCATCAGCATCCACCTCCTTCATCGCCAGGTGGAGGCTTGAATGGAGCCAGCAAACTATTTCCATGGCAGCGCTGGTCGCCGCCAAGCCTTGCCCGCTCACCACTTCACTGGGATTTTGGTTGACCGGTCTCCTGGAAATCCCTTGCCTTGGAGCCGCGTGAGCCAAGACCCATGTTGGGTGGTGGAGCTGCGGAGTCAGCCCTGCTGCGGGGGAAGGAGAGTGAAGGCTGCAGGGATAAGGGCACCCGAGGCTGCTTCAAGGTATGTACTGGACTTAAGGTATGTACTGCACTTAAGTGTTGTGTTGAAAGGTTTGCGTTTGGTACCTATAGGGAGTACAGAAAGAGCTGGGGAGATGGGGATGGGGAGCTCTAGTTCATGGCTCCTTTGGGTTTTGTAAATTTTCTGAGCTAAACTCAATTGTTTTAAGACTTGAAGGTGTTACAAAAATCAGCATCCACTCGCATCACTGGGAGAGAGAAGAAAAAGCCCTCTCCTCTCTAAGGCTCGTGTGTCAGCTAATTTTTTAAACTATTTTTATTTAAATCTGAACACACCTCCTTCACGCAGCGGTTTGGGGGCAATTAAAATGAGAAGATGCTAACACCGTGCAGCGTGGAAGGAGCTTTAGGAACCCACGGCAGGACTGTACATGTTCCTTACCTGCCAGACACGGAGTGCTGTGCTGAGTCAGCAAAGTGCCCTGAGACAGGGCTTGTGTTTGGATCCTGACGGTGGGCAAACTCCTTCCCATCTCACGGAGGCAGCTACATCAAGAAGAAATTGCATTTGCGATTGCAGAGCTACTGCCCGTCTTTCCTTGTTTGCAGGACCAAAAAAAAAAAGCCAACCCCAAAAAAACCGGCTGGAAAACTGGGTGCCACTTACTGGAGGAGAGGGGTATGAAGACGATGCATTGCTGCGCTTGTGGTTTTGAGTGTGGATTCCTCCAGGGTGCAAATGTTTGGCTTCCAGCAAGTGTCTTGCCTTGCAGCAGGTTGGATGGAGTGCTGCAGCCCCATTTATTTGGTTGTTTAAAGGTAAACCTGAGTCTATGATGTTTTAAAGAGAGCAAGAGCTGTGAAACTTCACTTGTGATTCACAAACTGAAAAGCTAAAAAAAAAACCAAACCCCAAACAAAACCCCACCAAAACCCCTAAAAACCCCTAGTATATAGGTTTCCCAACATGAATCCTTGTTTTGCAAACCTTTTTTTTCTTCTTTTTCCCTGTGCTTCTTTCCCTTTGCCCCCCGAAAAAGAAATTAAGTACACAAGCGTGGTAGAGATTGCATTTAATGCATTTGCTATTTGCTATTTTCTTAAATCCCCTCCCGGTGCTGCCTGGCAATCTGGGTTTCGTGGGGCGGATGTCGTGGCTGTGCAGACTCTCGAGCACGGAGCCTGAGCGTGGTTCGAAGCCTTTCAAAGGGAGGACTGGGAGCCACAGCGTAGCCAGCGTGTCCTGATCGCTTGTGGAAAACCAGCAGGATCTGGAAGGAGGAGGGAGAACGGCTGCAATTTGCAACACCTGGATTCCTTCGTGGCTTTTCTAGTTGTAATAAGGACAGCGAAATGTCAGGTCTTTCCACCTGCCTTTCTCTTGGTTGTTTCTTTCTGGAATATTTACGTGCGTGAGTCTTGCTTGTCTTTTTGCTCTTGCTGTGGTAGGTGCAGCGAGGCTTGTTTGCCATTTTCCACCTTATGATGGCTGATGGCTTGATATTTGTATGGAGCCCTTTTCTTGGCAGGGTTGAGGCTGATGCTGATCCTGGCTGAACCCGTCTAATAGGAAGACACTGGAAACTTCTACAGTGTTTTCTCATTGCTGATTTAGATATCTGCAATGCAGAAGCTGCATGCAGAAACCAGCAATAGCATCAAAAGGCTGTTTTAGAAATTCCTAATCAAAGCATTTCAAGCCACACCAGCGCAATTACCCACTTTGCAAAACTCTCCTATGGCATAGCGTGGAAGCTTGCAAAGGTGAAGAGCGCTCTCTACCTAACTCTGGTCTTCACCTAATATTAATATTGAAGCTAGAAAATAGTGTTTTCCTGCAGCCAGGTCTTGTTGTACTGCAAATCTCGCAGTACTTGCCTGAAGTCCCCTGTTGCCCCTCAAATGGGGATCGCTTTTCGCAGAGCAGTAAATGATCTGGCAGCCCTGGCTGCGTAGGAAACACAGAAGGCACGAGCCAGTTATGCTTCCTAGATGAGGAATCAAGAAACAAATACTTCTTTGTTCTCTACGTCTCCATACCAAAAAAAAAAAAAAGAAAAAAAAAAAGAAAAAAAGAGAAATTGCTCTCCACCATGACTGTTTATTATTTCCAGGATCCTGAAGATTTCATGACTTTCTAACATTTCTAGTTTTTTCCAGCTTCTTTTTTTTTTTTCCAGCATTAGGAGTTGTCAAAACTGTTCTGATGTACTTGAGAGGCCGTTCCAGCATGCAGATCGCCTCTTCTCCAAAACCATTCCGAGAAGGACTTAAAACTGCACGCTAACTACTAGGAAGTTACGGTGTGAGGATCCCCGTTGCTCTGCCTCCCCTGCTTTGGCAATCCTCCCTTCCTCCTGCCAGCAGGTGAGGCAGAGGCGTTCAAAGCCTGTAATGCCGATAGCGTTCACTTAAATACCGTGAAATTCCCAGTGTAGTACACACTTGATAACATCGCATCAAAAGCTTTTAGGAAGTATTAATTGGCCACAGCTACTGGAGCTGGCCAGAGTTGGAGGGAGAAGGTCTGAAGTGTTTAAGCTGCTCTTAAGTTGCTCTCAAGCGTTGGAAAAAAACAAGTTTGGGAGCTGAATTTGGGTACGAAATATCCCTGTGAGCAGGAGGAAGCTGGCATGCTGCAGAAACGGCACACGGTTGCCCAGGTAAGAAGAATGGGAATGAATAAAGCTGATTTTTGTTCCTCCTCAAGCTGTGCTGTCGGGGCTGTATGATTCATGTTGCCTGGGAGGTTTGGCGTGGAGTTGGCAGAAGGAGTTTTCCACGTTTGTATGTGTATTTTAGGAGGGATTAAAGCTCAGAGTAGTGTACAGAAGCAGGAGAGCCACTGAGATTTTAATTCTGCCTTCACCCAGAAATTAATACCTATCTAATACATATAATCTATAATATATAATCTTAAATATATATATGTTAGATTTTACATAGGTTGTAGAGATATTCTATGTGACAGGCTAAAGATGTGGTGAAGTTTAAAAGCATGACTTGTCAAAAGTTGTCTCTAATAGGGGTTTACTCTCTTGTTTACTCTCTTGAGGAATTGCCAGCATAAGCCAAGTATAAATAGGGCCAACAATCCCCCCCACCCCTTTTACGTGGTTATTACTGTCTTACTCTGCAAATTGACTTCAGCAGCAAGTAGGCTGGCTGTCTCTGTTCATACGCTTTACTTCCCAATGGGGTTTATAAAAACAAGATGAAGAAAGGGCAAGAAAAACGTAGCTTTCCGTTGAACTCATTTCTTTCTGATCCAAGAAAGACAAAATTATGGAGCGGCAGGGGGAACCTGGTTAGGGCTCGAGGCTGATGCTACTCTCTGGGAGGGTCAATTTATTTATACATCCAGATTTTTTCCCAGATTTGAAGAGAAGTCCGTCAGCCTCGAGCCTCCCAACGGCTGGGGGGGGAGGGA